AGATGTTGCTTCCATTAGAAAACTATAAAATATGCATTGCGCCTAGAATGATGCAGGACCAACTGGAAGATGTCCAGGACCGCCACAAGTGAAATAACCTTTTAAACAAAATAACTCTCTGTAACATGTGTAATGTAATTACACTGTGTGTGTTATAGTTAGAGCTAGCAGGTGGCTGGCAAGACCTAGTAATTACCAGGTGCAGCTACCTTCTTTTACTGCTGGATATTCCTATGGGTCACCAAATTCGCCTGGTCAATCTCAGCTTTAACCAGCAAAGTAGTAGTTACCATACCAGTACCATAATAGTACGTTAAAAACTAGTACTTGTGTGGAATGCATTGATGATTCTATAGGCAATAAACGACACCTGAAGTGAACAACCATTTACCATTTTTATTTTCACATTTCAGCAGCCGCCATCAGTCATTCGTAGCGCTGTGAAGAGAAAAAAAAAGGTTGAAATTAGAGATCAAGGAAAAAATTAATTTTGTGCTAAGAGTTTACTTGTTCTTTATCGCCAATTTAACAAAACAAATTGTGGTATTGAGTGTAACTGTTTTCATCTCAGAAATAATAGGAGAATGTTTTTCTCTTTGAGAGGTGTTAAGGATTTAAAATGAAAGCAAGCAGAAGTTTGTGAAGTGTTCTCTAAATTTCAACTGGATAAGCAAAAAGTTCTGCGGCGGGTCGTACCGAGACCAATACCAATTCTTCCAAGGTGGTGTAGAACAAATATTAAACCAACATTAAAACTTACTCTTCTCTGCTGGTCGGTTCTTTTGTCCCTAGTGGGACGTTGCCTCTTCGACGGGTGGAATGGTGGTGATGAGGGTGCTCTGCGGTAATTGCTAGGATGATGATGATAGTGATGGTCTGCTGGTCTGTTAAAAGATTTAAAACATAAATAAAATGAATTGAAGTCTTAAAAAATATTCCTTCTACAAAATCTGCATTTTGTTACTTATTTTTTTTTATTTATTTATTTTTATTTTTATTTAGAACTAAGATGGTAGCACAATTCTAATAATTTAAATCCCTTTCAAATGAGACATTTCCCAGTCACACTAAGTACGAATGGGAAAGGAGTAATTCTTTGTTTACTCATCACACTGGAAAATTCAGGCAGGTCCTCATGACCCAAACCCTTCTGGAACTTGTTCCTTGTATGAAAACAAAGAGCTAAACAAACATTTGGGATCAAAATACGTATTGAAAAATAGCTAAAAAAATTAGTTTGCTAAGAGGCACCTTAACAGGTTTTGGACGTTGTTTTCTGAGCTCTTTTTCAATCCGTATTTTGACCCCTAACGTTTTTGTAGCTCTTTGTTTTCATACAAGGAACAAGCTCCAGTAGGTCATGAAGATCTGCCTGAATTTTCCAAAGTGACGAGTAAGCAGAGAATTACTCAATTACACTTACCTGTACTGGGGTCGGCCTCTCCGCAACTCCAACTCCGCCTGCAATCTGGCATTCACTCGATCGTCGATTTCCTTTTCCATCTTCACTTGCAACGCCTCCTTTCTTTCTCGCCACTTCCTCCTCATCTCCTCTTCATACCTCTCCACCCTCTCTTGCACGTTCTTTTCGATCCTATCCTCCTCGCTGTCCGTGTCCGTGTCAGTAGCCGAGTCATTTTTCTTATTTTCATGATTGTTCTTCTTTTCATCATTTTTCTTCTTTTGATCATTGTACTTCTTTTTATCATTTTTCTTCTTTTCATAATTGTTCTTCTTTTCATCATTGTTCTTTTCATCATTTTTTTTCTTTTCATCATTCTTTTTTTTTAAATCATCCTGATTTCCTTCATAACTCTCTCGCCACTTCTTCATCCATTCATCTGCATACCTTTCCGCCCTCTCTTGCACCTTCTTTTCAATATCCTCCTCGATGTCCGTGTCCGTGTCCATGTCAGTAGCAGAGTCTTTTTTTTCTTTTCATCACTTTTCTTCTTTTGATCATTTCTCTTCTTTTCTTTGTTTTCTTTTTCCAAACCATCCTTCTTCTCATCCCCCTTTTTTCCCCCACCCAGCCCCACCAAACTCCCAATTGTAGATAGCCAAGACATCTGAAAACAAATCGTAAGCAGTTATTACTAAGAAGAATAATACCGATTAACAGGGTTCATACCAGATCCCGGTTTCCATTTTCCCTGACTTTGTCCTGACTTCCAGACCAAAATATCCTGTTTTTCCCTGACTTTTCTGAGTTCAATAGGAGGTCAATTTAGTAGAAAATACAGTAAAAGCAGGACGCAAAAATAGACTAGTCATCACTGAATAATGATAATCAGGATATTGGTAGAAAGAACAACTAAGATGGCGCAATGATCGCGAGTGAAGCGAGCGAGAATTTTTTTAATGTTAAATCTGCATTGTATGCTATCTCTGGTGAAACTACCTGAGCCATGACCAGCATTTGCCCACACTGAAAAGTTTTCCCTGACCCGAATCAAATTTCCCTGACTTTTCCCTGACTTCCAGACACCTTTTTTTTCTCCCTGACTTTTCTGTCCGGTATGAGCCCTGAATTAACAGAACAAAGCAGAAGAAGACAGATGATACCGTACCAAACTTCACATCCATACCCTATTCTATACCCCAACCAACTATGCTAACAAATGATGAATAAAATCATTCCATTACAGAATGCAAATAAATTTTGGAACTTGAAAAAGAATTGTGGAATGTTACGAATATGAGAAATGTTTAAAACGGGTAGGTCCTGGAGGCTCCCGTCTGGAGGGTCCCTCAAACAATGAATGCCCATGCCACATAATGCAGATGGTGAAAATAGGATTCAGAGAACTATTTTTTGATTTGTGAATATTAGTTGCTTTAGCTTGTGTCCTGGTATTGATGCACATTTAAAATAGAAGGCTCTGCTGATAAAAAAGAAGACAGACTGTCCTATGCTCTGGAAAAGAAAAATAGAATTACACCAGAATAATCTTCATTACAACTATAATTTCCATTACTTACAAAAAATTGTTGAATGGCAGGAAAAGAAAAAT